TAGATTGCAAAGGATGATGCATGCTTTAGGAGCCGTTCCAGTGACTGCACAAAGGTATGAGCTCTCTCCATTATTTTTACCTAAAACTGATCAATGTTTGTTACCGTCTATTGTGCAGGCACTAGAGTTGAAATTGGAGCCATTTCCGGATTACTTGAAATATGCCTACTTGGTAGAGAATGAGACTTTTTTCGGTAATCATATCATCACATCTTACATCAGACCAAGAGCTCAGCTTGATCGGCAGAGAATGAGACTTTTTTCGGTAATCATATCATCACATCTTACATCAGACCAAGAGCTCAGCTTGATCCGTGTTATGAAGAATCACACGGAGGCTTTAGGATGGACGATTGCATACATCAAAGGTACAAGTCCATTGTTTGTACTCATAAGATTACTCTTGATGAAGGAGCAAAACCAGTCCGATAAGCACAAAGGAAGCTCAATCTAATATGATTGAAGTGGTATAGAAGAAAATCATGAAGCTTCGGGATACTGGCATAATCTACCGATCGCTGATAGCCAGTGGGTGGGTCCTATCCAAGTGGTGCCGAAGAAGATATGAATAACCGTGAAGGAGAATTAAGATGGTGAGATGGTTCCTGTTTGCAACCAAACAGGATGGCGCCAATGTGTTGATTATCGTAGGCTTAATGTTGTACCAAAAAGGATCATTTTCCTTTTCCTTTTATTTACCGGTTGTCCGTGTCCATGTACCACTGTACATCTAAATTACAACTGCAATGCTATGCAAATAGATTGTTGATGTTGTATATTTTATTTGCAATATTATATTATATCTAGCACGCCAAAAGTAATTATACTCCAAAAGTAATTATACACCAAAAGGGACATCCTAGATAAAATAAAAAATTACACATTCAAAAGGTCTATAATACTTGATCTTTACAAAACCAAAGAGATTGTCACACACCCGTTGTCCGTTATGCACTCATTTTGGAGTCTTAGGGTGTGTTTGTTTGGGGGATTGGATTAGATTTCCACTATTCATCCTATTTTTTTCTCCCAAAAATATCAAATCAAACACTTATTTTTCATTTTTATATTATACTAAAAATCAATTTTACATTCAAAACATCACATCAACACCTATTTATATCACATCATACAACTATTCAAATTCAAAACTTTTACTATTCAAATCTCAACACAAAATCCAAACCCCCAAACAAACACACCCTTAGAGTATGGACCGTCTTCATCATGTTGATAACTCCTTTTGCTTGTGTACACTTAACCATACTTTTTGAAAATAGGAATTACTCATAGGCACATTCATCGCTAGTAGTTTTAACTTATGGATTGATGTTATCTTTTGAGTTATGATTGAACCGGACTCGACAAAGAGTTTTCTACATTGTTGTATGCCACTGTATGGTTGGTTTTCAATTTTAAGATATGGTTCTTTATTATCGATCGACATGCATCAGAATACAATTTGGAATTTTTATCCATCCTAAGTCAATCGTGTAGAAAGATATAATTCAGGCAAAACTGTTTATATCCCCCCCGTGGTTTGGAAATTCGGCGCCGTTTTCCCCTGTACTTTAAAATTGGCGTAGTACTCCATTGTGTTTTAAAAAACCTTGCGCCTAACCCCCCAAACAGCAAAAGTTAACGGAAGGTGGCATACACGCGTGGAGTAAGCGAGTAGACTTGTTGTTGCTTATCTTAAACTACCCAAATTCCCTAATTTACCCATCCACTCCCATTAAGTACAACCATTCTCTATCAATCGATCTAACACAACCGAAGCAAACCCAGAACACCCCGAATTCCGTCCTCGACGCTAGTCAACCACTGATTTCCGATTTCCAAGTAGGTGTTTGCAAAATAGATGTGATGTTTTAGTTTCTACCTTCTTCCTTGGCTTCGTTTCCCTTAATTTTTTTTTTTCATGTGTTTTTCTACATTAGAATATGTCCACCCCACCCTCAAACACTATCCAACAGCAACCAGATAAAAAACAAATATTCAATTAACATAATCAATTAATTTCGTAATTGGATGCAGCTAGTTATAGGGTTTTCGGGTCACCATACAATATGTATAAAAAGCATAACAGATGTACAAGGTGTACCCCGAATTCCACTTATATGACAAGTCGATGAACTTCTCAACCCGAAATTGTCCAAAACTGTAGAAACATACTCAAAAGCCCTAACCGTAGAAAAAGAAAAATGCAGAAAAGCCCTAGCCCTAACACAAAAGTCATTCAAAATCGATCGAACTCGGTGACTTGCAAGAATTTGGGTTCATTGCTACCCTTTTCTATGACAAATCGATGAACTTTTTGATGAGAACGCCGCCGTTGGATCAGTGTTCAAACCTATAATCGATTTTTTCGTGGGTGGAAGAAGAACTTCGAGTCGGACATAGTGATGGGGGAGAGGTGTGGGTGGAGAGGGATAGGAGAGAAACGAGGGAGAGAGAAGTGATGAAGAAGTATTAAGTGAGTTATTTAAAGGAAGGGTATAACGGTCCATTACAAAAGATATTTAACGTTGTTAGGTCAAACTTATCAAAGGGGAGAGTGTGCGAGGTTATTGAAAACACAAGGGAGTACTACGCCGTTTTTAAAGTACAGAGGGAAACGGCGCCGAGTTTCCAAACCACATGGGGGATATAAGCAATTTTGCCTATAATTCGCTACGTAATATATTCTACTTTGTTCTAAAATAAATAAATAAAATCTTATATTGCATATTTATATCAATATATCTATTACATATCAAATCTATACACATCAGAACCTTTAAACCCTAAACTAAACTACCTAAAGGAACACAACTTCTCAAATCTATCTTAAAATTTTAATCTACTCCAAACCGAAACCAATTCTTTTAAAATGTTTCACCAAAAAACACACCTATAGTTTTTAGAGTTAATAACTTTTATGTTAAGTATAACTATATATATATATATGTCAATAGTTCTACAACTTCTCAAATCTATCTTAAAATTTTAATATACTCCAAACCGAAACCAATTCTTTTAAAATGTTTCACCAAAAAACACACCTATAGTTTTTAGAGTTAATAACTTTTATGTTAAGTATAAATATATATATATATATATATGTCAATAGTTCTACAACTTCTCAAATCTATCTTAAAATTTTAATCTACTCCAAACCGAAACCAATTCTTTTAAAATGTTTCACCAAAAAACACACCTATAGTTTTTAGAGTTAATAACTTTTATGCTAAGTATAAATATATATATATATATGTCAATAGTTCTTTTTATCGCATAACTATGTCCCCGAGCTAGTATAAAAATGATATTTAAAATTTTTTTAAAAACTTTTGGGAAGCATATTGATATTGTTGAAGAGAGAAATTCAACAAAATCAAAGTAAAATTCGAAAATAACTTTGAACTTAAGATATCGTACTTGAGATTGGAAATCTTTAAGCACAAGACTTAATTACATTAAAAACTAAATAAAATATACTAGAAAATGTGGAATGATGATCCCCGATGAAACTTTCATAAACTCTTGTCATTTGAAGATGCCTCATCCCTTCTTGCTAAAGCCTTTATATAAAAATAGTCAAACTGTCCTAAATTGTTCATCAATCGGTTGCCCAAATCATATGTCAAACTGACGGCAGTTCCACACCCTACACTTCACACTGCTATATCGACAATTAAAATTGACTGCTCGTCTACTAACTCTTTGGCAGTTCCCGACGAATGATACTTCATTCACCTTCAGGTCCCTTGGTCCAGACCAACAGGTACCCACCCAGACAATCCTTCAAAAGAATCAAATGGTTGGTCATAGTCAGTTGGTCTTTTGAAGAGCAAGTTGGTTGGTCTTCTGACTGGCCCAACCTTCAGACTCTTGGGCTCATTACCAAACCCGTTTTGGCTCAGTGTCTTGGATCAAAACCTTAATTTCTAATTTCTATACTCAATAAATTGCCTTATCCTACCGGACTTTCAATTTTTAACATCTTAAAACTTATGAGATGTGACTATTGAAAGTCTGCCACTTCGCTTCCTGTGGCCATAGAGTATACATCACATCATTTCAAGTCCCATCAAAGGGTTTGTAAAAACCTATCCATAAGGATTTAAACATTTCCTTCACCTTTTCGTCTTTGTGGTATACAATTTCCCTTATTTACCACTGATATTCATCGTCTTCATTTTTCCATCATTTCTTTGACTTCAGGAAAATCAACTTCCTTACATGGTTAGTGAATACGTTCTTGCCCTTCTATTTGATATTTTTCGCTCATACATCAATTTTGTTTCTTCGAAAGTACTTACCCTAACTCTTCGCCCTTATTGCACGACCGTGGATGATGCAACACGAATGCAAGAAATATTGGAACATGCTAATCAATTATCCAAAAATATTTTTGCGACGATACCGCGTTAGTAAAGTTTTTTGGTGACGAATATGACTTTTGGTAACAAAAAATAAGTTTTTTGCAGTAAAAATAAGATTTCGTAGCTAAAGTTGTTTTGCTATAAAATTAAAATTCATAATAAAATAGTTTTAGTAACAAAATATGTATGATTTTTCTAACCAAATGATTTAGCTATATAAAAAATAATTTTGTAGTTAAAACCTTTTTAGTATGAAGATAGAATTTTCTAAAAATAATATTTTAGCGACAAAATTAATTTTGTAGTATATAATTTATTGATAACGATAAAATTAATTTTTTTTTTGCTAAATGACACCTTTTAATTATAAAAATATTTCGTAGTTAAAAATATTATAACTAATTAAATATTTTTTTTTTTAAAGTGAAAATAATTCATTCAACCCTGCTCACACGATAATATCAAAACTTAATCCGTAGGACACTTGGTAATATAAATATTATAAACATAAAAATTAATATAATTAAAATTAAAATTATAAAATTTAATTAAAAATATAGTTTAAAAAATACGTAAAAAAATAGAAAAAGGAATATATAGTACTATTAATTTTTTTTTTTTAGAAAAAGATAACCACCGCGTTTTAAGGCGGATTTGTCGAAGCGGCTATGGCAGATTCCGAGTGACGAAGCTGAAGCAGAAGCTGAAGGTTAAGGTTGAAGTCAAAGAGGAAGTTGAGGTGACTTTTCATCTTCAAGCTTATCGACTCAGCCCATGGAGAATCTCTTGGGGCTTCTCAGAGTCAGGGTGAAGAGAGGTATCAATCTCGCCGTTCGCGATGTCCGCAGCAGCGATCCCTACATTGTCATCAAGATGGCTAAACAGGTACCCACCTCTACTTCTTATCATTCCTGTTCCTGTTCCTTCATTCAATTCAATTGCTCCGTAGTCCGTTTGGCCGCTTTGTGATTCCATTTTGGATTTCGAATTTTCCTCCGGCTGGTGTTCTTTGAGTGTTCAGTGATCGATGAATTTGGGCGGGTTGACTTTCTCTTCTGGATAGTTCATTTGCCCTAATTTTAAGATACGTTTCACGGATTACGAATAGAAAGGAAATAATACGTCAAAATTGAAAATACCTTTTTCTTGTGAAGAACATATGGTTAAGATCTAATATATTTTCCCATTCTTTTATCATTGTGGTTGAACAATTAATAATTTTCAGCCCTGCATCCTTTTTCTGATCTCAGATCATCTTCTTTAATGCTTTTTTATTTTATTTTATTTGAAATTTAGAACTTTTGTGGACTATCCATGATATAAGAATTAGATTTTAACTACAGACGAGTGCTTTTTTGAGGTTTCAATTGATTTGATCAACTTATGATCTACAACATACCGTGTGTGTACATATATATATATATATATATATATCTTAACAGTGTGATGTAATTTTTTTATGATACTTACCATATGCTTGTTGCAGACTGTGTTTGCTCACAATTTTGCTGCATGTCATCTCATATCAGCCAGTAATTTCCTCGAATCGATTTACTTTTGGTGCAGAAATTGAAGACTCGGGTAATAAAAAAGAATGTCAATCCAGAATGGAATGAGGACTTGACGCTCTCTATTTCAGATCCTAATGTTCCAATTCTTCTGGTAATCTTCAATTCTTTCATTTATACACATATAATGGAAGTATGCTCCCTTGTTGAGTCTATGCTTTTACCAGCAGATGTTAAATGGATCATGTCTCGTCGCAATTTCTTCTTGTGGTTAGTAAAAAAAAAAAAATATATATATATATATATATATAGATATTGACATTTTGAGGTTTGTGGATAACATTTCCTAACATATGTAGAATTTAGATATGGTTTCCTAATGCGATCAAAGGTGGTCATGAACAATTTATTTTCCATATAAATTAGATTCGAGAAAATGTTAAATATTGTTTAATTTCTATCTCTAAATGGAATGTGAAGGCCGTAGGAATCCATATGTAAGCATGGGTGTGTTTACTTTGATGAATAGTTTAGCTTTTGGTTTTGATTTTTTGTTTGAAGGTTGATTTGGATGATATGTTTTATGAGAGGATAATTTGTTTTAGAAGGAATCACAAGGATCGAAATTTAAATAATAATAATAATAATCATAAGAATAAACTTTAACAAAAAATCACTAAGTAAATAGAGTTATAGGGTGTGTTTGTTTTTTTAGTTTTTGGGTTTGGATTTTTAAATAGTAAAAAGTTGAATTTGAATAGTTGTTTGATGTGATGTTTTTTAATGTAAAATAAATTTGTAGTATAATATAAAAAAAAAAGAAAAATAATTATTTGATGCGATATTTTTTAAGAAATAAAGGACTTGAATGGTAGAACTCACAAAAGAATACAACCATAGTGTCTAAGATAGACTCGAATAACTCCTTTGAGAATGTATAGACGATTCCCATTTCGGCATGCCATTATGGAATGAAATTATAATCATGAAATCGAGTAAGCGACTCCGGATCAATTTTATTCGAATTTATGATTTATCTACCTCATCCTTTAGTGCAAGAGTGTTCTAACTGTCTATCATCTCATCCTCTGTGTAACATCAGACTGTCTACGACCATGACACATTCAGCATGGATGACAAGATGGGCGATGCAGAGATTGACATTCGGCCATTCATAGAAGCTGTGAAAATGAAACTGGACAGCCTTCCAAACGGCACGATCATCACCAAAACACAACCTTCGAGAACCAACTGCTTCTCGGAAGAGAGCTGCGTAGTCTGGAAAGATGGGAGGGTAGTGCAGAACATGTTCCTGAGGCTGAGAAATGTGGAGTGTGGCGAAGTTGAAATCGAGCTGCAATGGGTCAACGTCCCGGGCTCGAGAGGTTTGTGAACTAAATTCCAACTTGTTGCTTGTGTGGGTGTATTTATCTTCATCTTGCAATTGTTTATTTACTATATGTGAATCTTTAGTTGCTCGTGATATATATAACTTGCTTTCAAGTGTTTATGTATATTTATTTGGATTTCCATTTACATTTTTACTTGCTTTTGTTGTAGATGTGTATGAAGAATCTTTTATTCAAATTTGATGAAAGATTGTCATTTCTTATGAATTATGATTATTTACACATGCACATATGTTACAAATCTTTGTTACTACTCCCGACACGGTATTTTAGGTAACGTAGGTTATTAACTTATTAATAATAAGTTAATATAATATTTTATTATTTTTTATATATGTAGTGTTGTTGGTATTTTAAATATTTTTACAATTAATATATGCAATACGACAATAAAATTTTATATAATACAAATGAATAAAAGAATATATTTATTTATTTACATTATCATAAATTAGTTTTATAAAAAATAAGAGTTTTAAAGGTAAATAAAAATATTTGTTAATTGATGAGAAATATAGAAATAAAGGGGTTTTGAGTGTGTCTATATGTAAAATGTTAAAAGTTTAGTTAGACCAAAAAGAAAGATGGAATATTTCTTATGCTTTTTAAGTTGGTATGAAATGTTATTTTTCTTTTTGGTATCAAGTGACTTATGAATTGGAACTATGTATTTTTTTCTTTTTGGATTTTATTTATCATTCCTTTTTTTTTTTTTTTTCCGCCTTCAATGATTTTGAAATGAAAAGGACGTTGATATTGATGTTTTGAATGAAAACTAAAAATTTAATATAATGGTTATAATAGAAGATTAAGGGTGTTTTTTTTTTTGTGTTTTTATGTTTATTTTTATATATTTGTTGTAAGGTTTTCATCAATTTTTTGACACATTAAATTAAATAAGTGAATAGTATTTTAGTATTTTAAAATAATAATTAATATATATAATTAATTTTTTTAAAAATATGTGTTTAAATATTTTAAATATTATATCTTATCAAAATATATATCATATGGAGATATCATTGTAAGAATTAAGCTTATATAGTACAAATAAATAAAAGAATTATTTATTTATTTATTTATAATTAATATAAATTAATATTAAAAAATAAAAAATTTAAATATAAATAAAAAAATTATGGAAAAAAACAGTAAAAATAAATAAATTCTGAATGAATAATACAATTAAAATGTTAAAAATTTAATTTAATTAATTTATATTTATTAAATTAATTTTATACAAACTATATGTCAATTGTTATAAAACTGCATATATAATTTAGTTTTATATTTCAAATATTACATTCATATCTATCTATATTATGTTAAAAAATTTATTTAAAATCAAAAAATTTATTTAAAATCAAAAGTTAAAACTCTTTGTTTTCCAGCAAATTAAATTCAATTTGCACTGTTTATTGTGTTTTAATATCAGAATTTTCTAATAAAATATAAATTATATTCTTTTTTTTTTTTCAAACCCGTTGAATTATGTTACTATTTTTCTATCTCTTCAATTTATTCTATTTTATCATATTAAATAATTTTATCTCATTATAATTTTATTATTTTTTACTTTAACATATAATAATTTATTTGTCGGTATCTTTTTTTTTTTACGGATTGGATTAAAATTCCTCTCTCTATTTTGGTATTTAAATTTGTTAAAATTTTGATACATGAGATTTATGTTGAGACCAATATTGTTATCCACACACCAAATACACAGAAACCTACAATATGTGGCCCAATTAGAATCTTGACTTTACTTAGCCCATGACCCGGTCTTTGATCCGTGCCTTTTATCTGAGAAAGATCCATTACTGTCCGATTTAGGAATTGCTTCTCGGCCATTGATCTAGTTTGACCTTCAATATATAATGTTGGAGAGGGAGGGGCGCCGTATAGGAAATAATACACACATTGAGTGATATTCCCACTCTCTCTAACTTACTCTCTTTGGCCTCTCTATAAAATCCACCATTGCGGTGTTGTTCTGATCTTGGTTCATTTCTGTACACTTCAAAACTCAACCATAAAGCCCACTCCATATTGGGAGCCCGACCTAGGGAGAAACATGGCCCATAAGAAAGCCCAAATCAGTGAGATACTTAGTCAAAGAAGAAACGGATAAAACATAATTTGAAAATGAGAAGGATTTTGGGGAGGTTGGAGAAAAATAAGGAAGTAAACCTTATCCGAACAAGGTTTAGAGAATAAAAGGAAAAAGAAGACGCCGTGAGAGGGCACCTCATCTTCTTCAACATTAATTTTTTTTTTGCAATTTAATTTCCGCAGTATTTTCAGAATTTTTACAGCTTTTTTCGATTAATTTCAATTTAATTTTCAACTTCGTTAATTTTTCGGTTAATTTTTCTTCGTTAATTTTTCGGTTATCGCGAGATAAGCCGGATCCTTTCTTGAGGAGGCCGGGGAACCCTACGATAAAATCAATTCCGACAGGCTTTTCCAATTAAGCCGTCGGTGGTGATTTTTTTACGACAACAGATTGACATGCCTGGTGGGACACCGACGTCTCGCGATTTTTACATACAACTTCGGAAGAAAATTGATGTCGCCGACGACTGCAAAGATGTTTAAAAACAAATGAATCGTCGGCGATTCGTCATCGTGGCCTGCGCAACATGCTGCCCCACGCGATGAGGCCTCCGCTGCTGCTGGAAGGCCAGACCAAAACATTAGCCTTCCAGCCAGCGTCCTTCAGGAGCAGATCCGTGGGGAAATTCGGTCGTCCCTTCACGGATCCGCCCAAGAACTATCGAAATACATTAGCGACGTTCTAAAATCCGCCATTCGGAACGAGTTTGCGCTGCTTATGGAGGAAGAAACTAAAAAAAGTAAGGTCCGGAAGGTCGATTCCAGCGAGCCAGATATTTGGCCTTCCGCGGGCCTTACAACCAGCTTCGCAGCAGATCCGAAATCCCAGGCCCTTAAGTATGACCATATTACTCTGTTCGGTAGGGATACCGGATCTGGAGGACCTCTGATCACCATCCAGAAGGTCGGAGAATCTCGAACGTCGGCCGGGCAGGCTTCCTTTGGGCCGCCTTCAACCGACGGATTTGGGATGACCTTCGGGTTAGTCCCATCAGTACCATATAAGCAAAATAATCCGCTAATTTCTGGAAATACTTTCAGCACCCTAGTCACCACTCCAAGCCTTCGAAAAAACCCAATGGCCGGACAAGAGACTTCCAATGCATGGGGGGCAGGGCCGACAGCGATACCAGCACTTTCGTTGGTCCCAAAGCTTTCTGGAATGACTTGGGAACCAGGAGGATCAGTCCTAACACCATCCCAATACACTGGGGGGCAGGGAGCTGCTGGGGAAGGTCGATTTGCTGCTGGTTCCGGGCTGGAACAAACCTACGAACATTCTGCCCAACCAGCCCCTGAAAATACACCATTGCAACAGGTTCCAATCTTTAGAGAACCTACGGAAGGCCCTCGAGCTTGTTCTCACAACGGGGACCTACTCAACAAGCCTTTCCGCAGTCGGCGTTACACAATCCGCCGTCCATTCAGGCAGCTTCCGAACAGCCTGGGGGGCAGGCAGAAATGGTGCCGCTGCCACATCATATCATAAATCCACAGGTAATCGAATTCATAGGATATATGGCGATCGGAAAAGCAAGGATTCGATTGAGCAATTCTTGGAAAAATTAAGGAGCGCAGAAACTAGATGCCAAGTTCGTGTACCAGAGGACCAGGGGGTGAATGTGGTAATAAATAACATGACGCACCAGCTGCGTGACAGCCTGGCTCTTCAGGAATGTCACGACTTTCGGCAGCCGATGTCCAAAGCTATGAAGGCCAAACAGCCCTTCAAAGAAGCTCAAATGGCCCGAAATCAAAAGTTTCTGAGTTGTAATCATTGCGTGTTTGCCCAAGAAGGGGTTGCCGAGGTCGACGAGGAGCAAGATGAGACCTTCTTGGCTGAAATTTCACAGAGGAAGGCATATACATGCCCGGCTCTTAAGCCGCCTCGACGGAATGAGGTGAATCTGAAAATATCTTACTCGTTCGACATCGCGAAGACAGAGCAGATTTTTGACTACTTGCTGAAAGATAACCAGCTCCGCCTTAAAGAAGGTCACAAAATGCCGATCAAATAAGAGCTGAATGGAAAGTTATTTTGTATGTGGCATGGAGTATATGACCATAAGATCGGGAACTGCATTTCCTTCCAAAATACAGTCCAAAAAGCCATCAAAGAAGGCCGCCTCAAGCTGGCCGAAAAATCTGACTTGAAAATAGACACGGAGTCGTTCCCCACGCCGATAAACATTGTCGGAGTACGTCCAGCTAGGTCCAAAAAGACAAATTCGGGGTTTGGAGCAGATGGTAGGAAAACAGACCCCGCAAATTCACTATTCCAGCAGGTTCCATTCTTCAGAGAGGCTGCAGAAGGCTCCCGAGTTTGTTTCCCACAACGAGGACTTGTTCATCAGGCCTTCTCGCAGCCTGCAGCGCGCAATCTGCCGCTCGTTCAGGCAACTCCCGAACAACCTGAAGGGCAGGCAGAAACGCTGCGACCACCGCCTCCAACTATAAATCCTCAAGCGATCGAGGAGGCAATTCGGGGAATTTATGGTGATCGCATCCGCTTACTGGTAAAGCCACACTACCAAAGGCCTTTTCCGGAGTATATTCCCTTGGATCACCCGCTGCCCCGTGACGCTAGGATGCCCGAATTTACGCTATTCTCAGGAGAAGATGCCCGTTCTACGATCGAACACGTTAGCCGATTCACGGCTCAGTGCGAAGGAGAGTACGGAAACAACGATTGGTACAAACTCCAGCTCTTCTCTTTGTCCCTTACAGGTCCAGCTTTTTCATGGTATACCTCGCTACCTCCGAACTCCATTTGCACCTGGGCGGACATGGAAAGAGTCTTCCACGAACGATTTTACAGTCCGCTCCCAGAAGTGACTGTCTCGGACTTGACTAATTTACGACAATGAGGAGACGAATCCGTGGAACAGTTTCTGGAGCGCTTCAGAAGATCAGAAACTAGGTGCCAAGTCCGTATTCCAGAGAATCAAGTGGTTAATATGGCCATTGATAATATGACGCACCAGCTACGGGACAAACTCGCTCTCCAGGAATATCACGATTTCCGAAAGTTGACCTCCAAAGCTGTAAAGGCTGAATATCTTGTAAGGGAGGCCCAGGCAGCGCGTAAC